TCCCACGTGACAACATTGTCACACACTAGTTGAATTTGATGTTCTACCACATGTCGGCAAAAGTTAATTTGTATTGTTTAACAGAAAAAAAAATATTATTATTATTATTATTATTATTCACAAGTTTGTCGTAATATTCTATAGACTACCTAAATCTAATTTACAAAAGTTTTTTCTTTTTTTCATAAGTATTTTTCTTTCGTAAGATAAGTATATATCTGAGTTATGTACTAAAATAAAACATGGACAAGTTTGTCGGTTTGTTTTAAGTTTTTTTACGCGTATAAAAAGTGGAATAGTGATGATGAGAATAGGTAGTTAGCTTGTGGGGTTGAGAAAGTGGGTTGGGTTGTGCCGACTTGTATCATCAACCTGCTTTTATAAAAGTGGATTGCTTTTTCTAGAATAACTTGATTTTAATTAAATAAATTGATTTTAATAATAAATTAAAAATCAAAATTTTTAAAATTTTTATAAAATAATATTTTTTTATTTCACTCTAATATAATAATTATTTTATTATATTTTTATCATATTTTCGTAATTTATACTTTTTCATTTTCATACTATTTATAACTATAAATTTATTATAATTTACAATTAAAAAATATTATTATTTATTATATTATACAAATTATTTTATTAAATTTGATTTATCTTAAAATTTTAATTAAATAAGTAAATTCCGAACTTATGTCTTTATCCATTTGATTTAAAAAACATGTTTATAATTAAAAAAAAAACAGATTAATTATTTTAAAAGTCAAAATAAAAATAAATTTCATTCATTAAACTCGTGAATTAATCATTTTATCTATTAAGAGCACCTGCAAAAATAATATTGGAAGTCATAAATTAAAAGGTATAGAGAATTTATAAACAATATTAAACTCAACCTTAAAACCTAATTTCATCTAAAGCTTCCGAATTTTCAGTGACAGGTTGAATCATGCAAGTTAATTAAAAAGTAAAATATGTTTTCAGTAGCTTTCAAAATTTTTTAACTTGATTTTATTTTATTTTTTTAAGTTTTGGTCCATTTTTTTCTTTTTAAACTAAAAAGGTATCGCTTTTTGCACAATAATATAAAGTGCTAAACAAAAAGAACATTTTATTTTTAATTAAATAAATTAACAAATTGCAAGTTTTTATTACCTACCAAAAAAATATATATATAGGTTAGGCAAGTGAATTTGGTATTGAAGTTTTAAAAAATGGTATTAATAAAAGGAATGAAATGGGATAATTCCATCTAATTTATCACCTCATTACCTAATCCATTACCTTACATGAATTTCTATAAGCCTAATAAATATTCGAACCACCTAATTTAACCTTTAATGAACACTTCTTTTCTCTAAACTTCAATGCAATATTTTCTAATCCTATCTATTCAATATCCATTTTTCATTTTCACAATATTACCCTTCAAGTTGATATTCCACGTGGAAGCAAGAAGGAAGACCAATAAAGATGATATGATTCTCACTAATCCAACAGATTTTCAAGATGCTTAAAATACATACTATTGGATAAGAGTTTAAATAAAATAATCCTAAAAAAAGCACTAAATCATTTGAATTGTTTGAAGATTTTCAATCAAAAGGATTTATTTGAAGTCAATATCAAGTACACGGAATTTTTTTTAAGTAGGGAAATTGGGATACTCAAAATACAACTGTCACATGTTTTATTATTAGCGATAAATTTCTATATAAATAATTGCCCTTTAGGCATTTGAAGGGTCAGGATTTAAAAAATGGTAATTGAATAATCAAATTTTTTATTTGCCTTAATAATTTTTAATGTTTATTTACTTTCCTTTAATTTCTTTTTATTCACCTTTTTTAATTTATCACGTTGTTCTCTATCATCTCTAGCAATGGAGAAACTCACAAGGGAAATTGTTATTACACTCATGATTTCAATCTTTTCATGTATGTTTTTTTTTTTAATCTAAATTTGTATTAAGATTGAAATTCACGTAACTAGTGGTTAATTACTATCTTTTAAATATTGTAAGAAACTAGTTTTAGATTTGATTTGGGAGAAGAATGTCTTCCCCAAATTGAGATTGGAAATATTTGTTTTGTATTCTGTTTATAATTTTGTGATAAACACACTTTAAAACTCCAAATAAGTCTTTTATTTCATTAATTACGCTCCACCTCATTCTTTTGATTTACATAACCATCTTATGTTTAGTGCAGTATTTAAGCAGTTGAAATATTGGACTTGTCAAAAGATGTAGTCATTATTTTTAAATTTGAAGTTAGGATAAATATTTAAAAATTAAATGATTGTTAAATTGATGTTCATTTATAAAATTGTATAAATTAGTGTAATGTCAAATTTATTTATTTTTTGTCAAATTAGTTAAAACTGTTGTGTCATTGGTTGGACATAAAATTGGTTTATCATCAAATCAGTGTAAACCAATTTTAAAAATCTATAAATAGGATATGGAGAGAAGTATAGAGTAGAAAACTATTATAATATAAAACTAAAAAAAAATATTATATGAAAAAGGTATATATGAATCATCTACTTTTATATTCATATACACAAAATTACAAAATGATATAATTAGTTAACAAATTATATTTAACTTAAATTGTTATATTTATTATGTGATATAAGATACAAATACAATAGTTAATGGTGTATGACTTGTTTGTATGTTTTTATTTTCCTAAAGTTAACGTTATTATCAATGTATGACTTATGTGCTGTATTTTTTTTTTTAAGTTTTTATTATTGTTATTTTATTTTAGACTTAAATATATTTTTTTCTAGATAAATTGTATTGATTTTTTTTTAGTTCTTAAGAAAAAAAAGTTTTCTCGCTTTATGAGTATTCTTAGTCGTCTCGTCACTATTGATTAAGAATTTCTGTACGTAATAGTAATTACAAAAACTTAACATAACATTTGAAAATTGAAATAAGATTCCATGAAAAAATAAAATTGGCAAAAAAATATATTTTAATTTTTGTTTTTATTTTGTTTTAGTTAAATTTTATATGAAGAAGTTGATATAAAATTACTATATGATGAGTTGTTTCAATAATGTGTTTAAATAAAATTAAGAAATGTAAAAAAGATATAATTATGGAATATTAATAAATATCATATTAATATTTTTATTTTTGAAAATTTGACTTACAGTAACATTTTATCAAGCTCCGCAATTGACGATAAATTTATAAATGTTTTTACTATGATTTTTCTATTTTCTTATAATTGAACGATTTTAACGAATATTTATTTTAAATTTATTATTGAAAAAATGATGAGCTTTTGGGTATTAGTGAAATAGGTTATAAAAATAATGTATATAACAGAAAATGTATAAAAAAATTATGAAAATAGCAAGTATATCAGAGAGTCACGTTTCAAGAGACAATAGCAGAAGCAGGGTGGAGGTGGCGTGTCAATTCCATCTATGTTTCAAAACGAGCCCAAGAACGTTTTTGGACACCCCTTTTTCTTCAATCTTATAATACAACAATAAAATTTTAAACTATTTATTAAAACAAAAATACTAACATACTTTTTTTTTATATAGATTTTAAAATTTTATTTTTTATTTTTTTAGTTTCGAATTTTTATTTCTTGATTTAAAAAAATATTTTATTTTGTTCTTATTCTCAATTTTACGTATATTAATTTATTTTCGTTCAATTGAATCGTAGACCTAACACATTCGCTTTTGACCACAAAATAAAAATAATCGAAAATTAAAAATTGAATCAAAATGGTGAACTTCTAAAAATAGGAGAACTAAAAGCGTGAAAAAAAAAAATTAAAGCAAAAATAATTAAAATTTCAATATGGCAAAACATATTCTATTTAGTGATTCGTTGACTTTGTTTGGTATTAGGTCACATATTGTTATGGAAGACAATTCAAATCAAGCTTGATAGGACTGCACTGGAAAACCATATCTCCGTAGCATATTTAACACATTTGTATATTTCATATTTGAATTCGAGATTATATATTTATTCAGAAGACACGTTTCATGATTGTTAATTAGTTTCTTAAAGCAAAATAATATTGTTATATTATTTTTTGGAAATTATCACTGTCTTTGAACCCAATATATTTGATGTAGTGTAAGTTTGAGATGGGGATCCGAAAAATTTCACTGTGATCAATATGTATAGTACAGTTTTTGACTTATTAGGACGTCATTAAATTTGTTAATAACAATAGTTAGGTGGCGACACACACAAATTAACATCATCACAATACCACAATTTGTTTAAGCCTTGTTTTTTAGTTTATTTCACCATGTTCAATTACAATCAAAATGCGTGTAGTTCCACGGTATCTTAAAAAGTACAAACTAATCATAATACAGAACAAACCTTTTTTTTATCATGTTTCAGACTAAATGCCGTCATGTTATTTTTCTATTCCGATCTATAACATGTGTACCATATGTTGTTAGACACAAAATAAATAAACGAAAGATATTCTTGGCTTTTTCCTTTTCAGAATATGTATTTTTAGTGGGAAGACAAGCTAATTACGTTGTTCAATATTTGACTTGGTGTGTCGAAATTATGCTAGCTTTTTCATATTGTCAATAGAAAAATGAAACAAGTTGTTTCTGTCCAAAAAGAAATCATATTTATCAGTAAAACAAAGCTAGTTTTTCAAGTAACTAATATAATTATAAATTCAAAAACACTATAACGGTAGATAGTGCTGAGTGTATATTTGTTATAATACAAAAGAATCGATATGTGTGTATGGAGAGAAAGACAGAGAGTGAGAGTGGGATAAAGGCAGAACCCACACAACAGAAGCAATTTTAATCACGGCGCCGAAATTATGGTATCTCGCGTTTTTATCTATATATAGAGTTCTCTTAGTTGCTCTCGATCACACACACTACAACATAAGCTACAATCGAACGCACACTTAAACGCACTAGTTACAATTCTCTCCAATCCCTCTTTGTCTTTGTGCTTTCCAACTTCTCTCAAAAACATGACGAGTTGCCAAGCATGGCCAGAGCCAGTGGTTCGAGTCCAGGCCTTAGCTGAAAGTGGCCTAAGCTCTATCCCCTCGCGCTACATTAGGCCACTCTCCCAAAGGCCTTCCAACACCACTTCGTTCACTCCTCATAATCCTTCTCAAACTCACCTTCACCATGATCTCGACTCTGGTCGTGGCCATGGTCATGTTAACATCCCCGTCATTGACTTAAAACACCTTTACTCGGAGGACCAGGTTCTCCGAAAAAAGGTGTTGGAGGAGGTGGCGGAGGCGTGTCGCGAGTGGGGGTTCTTTCAGGTGGTCAACCATGGGGTTAGCCATGAGTTGATGAAGAGTGCGAGGGAAGTGTGGCGTGAGTTCTTCAACCAGCCACTCGAGGTGAAGGAGGAGTATGCAAACTCCCCCAGCACTTATGAGGGCTATGGAAGTCGGCTGGGAGTGCAGAAGGGTGCCACCTTGGATTGGAGTGACTACTTCTTTCTTCATTACATGCCTCCCTCTCTTAGGAACCAAACTAAGTGGCCTGCATTTCCACCATCCTTGAGGTATATGCACATCATATGTCTCTTCAACTTTTCTCTTCCTTCATCTTTTTGGTGGAAAATATATGCATACAGTCAGCGTAATTATATTTATAAACTCACTCTCTTTCTGTTCATTTCTTTTTCATCTTATTTTTCTGTTTATCTTATTATTTATTTTATCACATCAACTGTCATATTTTTCTTTTTCCACATTTACCTTACCTATAACCTGTTAGAAAATAAGGTATCATGCACAATTTAAAGAGAGAGAAAGAACTGAAAAAATTTCTTTTCAACTTCAATTCTCTCGTGTTGTTTCTCTTTCTGTTTCTTGGAAAGCAAAAATATAAACATAGTCTTAAAATATTTGAGGATCTTGGAGACTCTATGCTTGAAGCTTCTTTGATGAGAGAAATAGGAAAAAATAAATGTAATATATGCTGAAAATTAAATATATATTGGAATTTTATTTTATTATTATGTTAATTACTGTAGTTCTTGTTATATATAACTTAGAGGCCTGCGTGAAACAGTATTTAGTTAAACTTTTTATTATAAACACTGAAATCATTCTGACACATGTAAACTTTAAAGATGCAGTACGAGCCAGGTAAAAGATGTACTTATCTTTAGAATATACTTTTATATATGTCTTTCTTCTCATTTTCATCACAAAAGACCGTGTCTACTGAAAAAATAGGCTAGTGAAAGGCGATTGCGAAATTATCCCAAACATAGTGACATGAATTTATTGGTAGAAAGTGGATATTAAGAATGAATTGAAGTATGTGGGTATACATATTTCGTTCCTAACATGTCTATTTTTTCTTCATTGTTTCCAAGTTATTATTTTCTTATTGGTTTGGTAAGATGCGAACGCGGCGAGTTATATTTGGTTAATAGTAGTTGCTAAATGAAGGTGTACCCAACTAATTAAAGTGGTGTTCTTTTGATTATATTAAGATCTAATGGGAGGCAGGAAGAGGGTATATTGTAGGCATAAATAAAAGTGGGATTGTGAAAATTAAAATTTGAACCTGTCAATTTTGAGGGTGTTGGGCAGAGCCGTGTTAGAAATGAGTGGAGCTCCACTTCAATAACTGCAAATTGAACTTTCATTTGTTGATTTGAAGTAAAATTTTAATTTTATACGATAAATTACGGAAAGAAAAGTGAACAAGTTGAGGCATTGTGACTGACTACCAGTGGGTGGTGGTGGAGCTTCTTCGTATGCTCTACGAACATAATAAACGGATGATTCTTCAACATTTGTTTTCAAACTACGTTGTACACTTGACCTTTGCATGTAAAACGTGTGGCACTCTGAGTAACTGAATATAAAGGCATTGAAGATTCACGGGTGCTGCTTAAAATTGGCTGGACCAAAACTTTTATTGGCTACCATTTCGGTCCAATGCCTCCAGATAACTCCACATTTTAAATATGACCTAGCTACTTCAAAATCTAAAATGTTTCAAATTATTTGAAATGGTCATCTTTTAATTTTATTTATATACATACCCTTTTCAAATTACATCATATAATTCAAAAAAGACGATCACAAATTTATATGTTCATCCAGTACTTTCTTTGCAGAATCTGTCACACTTTCTATCCTACATCACTGAAGCTCAACTACCAAGAAACAATAAAATAAGCCTTGTGAAAGCAATATATGTACCAGTAAAAGTGTATTCATTTTGTTCTTTTTACTTTTTTGTACATACAGAGAGATGGGTAATTTTTCTTTTGCTTCTCTTGGAGCTAACTCACGAGAAGCATAGTATGTATTTTTGACAGGGATAATTGGGACCCTATCGCTTCTAAGTCTGGTATATAATCAGGAAACATAATTGGTTGAGTGGTTTGATGTCTCTGTTTGATAATAAATATATGTAGGACCATTATATTGATGGTACAAGTTGTTTTTTTCACTTTCTGAGGTAAAGAAAAACAATGACTCGTTTTCCCCGTCTAATTCTGTTTTTGTGGTGATAGGAAAGTGATTGCTGAATATGGAGAGGGAGTGGTTAGGCTAGGAGGAAGGATACTCCAAATGATGTCAATAAACCTTGGTTTGAAAGAGGATTTCCTGCTTAATGCATTTGGAGGAGAAAGTGAGATTGGTGCATGCCTAAGGGTGAATTTCTATCCAAAGTGCCCTCAACCTGACCTCACTCTAGGACTCTCCCCTCACTCAGACCCTGGTGGCATGACCATTCTCCTCCCTGATGATTTTGTTTCTGGCCTTCAAGTACGCAGAGGAGATGAATGGATCACAGTTAAGCCTATCCCAAATGCTTTCATCATCAACATTGGTGACCAAATTCAGGTCCCTAACCCTCCCTGAATTGTTCAAACCTTTTACTGGTCAAGCTGTTATTTCATGACTAATTACATTAATTACTTGTTCTTTCACACACTGTTACAGTCATACATGCATGTTTGACATTATTTGCTATAAACATTTATTACCTCAAATTTCAACAACTGGTTGTTGTTACAGCTTAATCAATGTTCAATGGCATGTTTAATTTTCAGGTGCTGAGCAATGCAACATACAAGAGTGTAGAACACAGGGTAATTGTGAACTCAAACCAAGATCGTGTGTCCTTGGCCATGTTCTATAACCCAAGGAGTGATTTACTCATAGAACCAGCCAAAGAGCTTGTGACAAAAGAGAAGCCAGCCTTGTACTCCCCAATGACATATGATGAATACAGACTTTACATCAGGCTAAATGGACCATGTGGAAAGGCCCAGGTTGAATCACTCGCTTCCCAATCGTGATTCCAATAGAATAGTGTGTTTGGTTTCACGTTTCCAAAGTAATTCTCCACGTTCGAAACGTAATTCTATGAAGTTAATAGTTGCAACTTTTACGTGTTAAATGTAATTTCGCGTTTTTCCAAGTGTATCCAAACATGTTATAAGAGGATGATATGAGACGACAGTGTTTGCATCTAGATAAATGGAGACCTCAGTTTGTATAAGATGGGTAGATAAAGTTTTATCATGTTTATATTTTGGGGTGCAATAGTTGAAAATGAAAAGAAGAGGTTGAATCATCACATGCCAAAATGTTGGTTTCATGTGTCTTGATATCTCAAAGTGAGGTGTTGGTTTGGTCAAATGGGGAAAGAATTGAATAATGGAAAGTGATAGGGTTCATGAGATGAGAGCATATATCTCAAACATGCATGTCCCTAGTGGAATGCTGACTATTATGGGTCAGGAGAAAGGAAAAATAAAGCACCATGGATGGGACATGATTTTTCCAATTAGTACCACGCACAACTTCCATCTAATTGATTGAGTTGACACGTTTCCATTGATGCACGTTTGAACTAAGGAAGATTATTATAATCATTAATTCATTTAGTCACGTTCTAAATACGCCTCCAAACTAGAATAAGTGCAAATCAGTTTCATACATTTTTAAATAAAACTTGTGGCTATCAACTTTCTCACTCAACCTGTAAAATACAACTTTCCAACTCAATTTCTTTGAACAAGTGTACTCAGACGATTTATTTTATGTTTTTGAGAATTTTTTTTTACTATTTATTTATATTCGTGTTTGGTTTTTGTGATTAAACAATTAAACTTATAACTTAATTTAAATTACATATACGTTTAATCACATTTGACATTAACATTACAAGGAGAAGGTTTGAAAGTTTGGATTTATTTATCAATTAAGGCTTAACTTCTTTTTAATCACATTAACTTTTTTTTTTTTTTAATTTCCTTATTCAATCAAGTCGTTCAATTTGTAATTTCATTTGTTGAAATTGATATCATTAATTTTATAAATCATCATTATACTATACGTAAAGGTTGTTAATAATTTTATTGCTAATTGGATAAAAAATAATAAATTTGTTACATTTTTAAAAATTATGACACTTGATTGAATTGTTATTTAATAGTGAGACTGAATAAATAAATAATGAACCTAAAAGAAGTACTTATTCTTGAATTAATGAGCAAAAAAAGCAATTTTTTTAAGAATAATCAACAAATACATGTATTAAAAAATGTTTTTGAAATATAAAAGAAGACCAAAAATACTATTTAATAGAAATAAATTTATTTTAATAATAATTTCTTAAAACATATCTCGAGACAAAAATTGGATTAATTTGATCCTATATATTATTTCATATAAAATTACCGAACTAAAACAAAATATTTTTTTTTAAGTGGAGGCCTCCCCATACTTAATATAATATTTTCTCAATTAAATGGTTAAATAATGATTTTTTTTAAAGAGAAAACATTTGATATAATATATTCATCAAATATACGGCACAAAACAAAGAAGCCAAGTATCTATACATTGTTACGCGAGAGAAAAGAATACATGAAATGGTTCTTTCCATTAAAAAAAAAAAGAAGAAGTTAAATTTACTATGTATGAATATATAGCAGTAAATACAATGTTTAATTTAATATAGGTTTACATTTTTTTTTTCACTAAATAGTCCCTTTTAACTACATATACATAATTATAATTTTCAATCTAAAGTCATGGACTTTATAAACTTCAATTAGCATATATATATATATATATATATATATATATATATATATATATATATATATATATATATATAACTCAATATTAATTTATTAATTCAAACAAGTATAAATTTTATGACAAGTTAGAAGTAAAAATTAAAAAAACAAATTTTAGTAAGTTGGAACTCTTTAGCTGTCCTAATTACCAATTTGGCAAACGCATGACAAAGTTCAGTCACTTTCATATATTTGGAATTGGACTTATAATGATTCTGTAAAATCATTGGGTTTGGCTGTTTCCTATTAAAACATTTTTAAATTTGTTTAAGGATGTTAAACTTTCCATGTTATGCTTCAAGTATGTTGTCTTTTTAGAAATATTGTTTGTCAAATTGCTTGTGTTGTACACGTCTTTCCAGATACAACATTGGTTGGTAGACTACCATATGTTCACTTGTGATAAGAACAAAGTGGAGGGCTCTTTAGATGTTTCTCAGAGGATCGTTGTCTTGTTGGACAAATTGCTTAGGATGATTTGTAGTGCTAAGAATTGTTGGTCGGTATCATAATTCAAGATTCTGTGCAATAACACTTGATGGATGAAGTGATGGTAGAGGAGAGAATGTATCTCTAGTGAGTTTAAAGAGTTTTGAGAGAAGAAATGCATTAAACATGAATGGTTGTCTCTTGCTCATTCTAACACAATGGCTTGATCGAGAGAAGAAGTAGAATCTTTCTTAACATGATAAATGTGTTGGGTTATTGGGCTCCCTTCCTATGTGGAGAATAGGCCTAAATAGTGTGGTCCATTATGTCTCATTTGGGTAAAATGAGATGGGTCAGATTAGTAGAGGACAAGAGAGTCATTTGAAAAAAGACAAAAAGTCTAGTGAGAGAAAAAGAAAGAGAGAAAGTCATCTCCGCATAACCCTAAATCTGCACTGGTGTTTTCGTCGCTGTGAAGTCGTTCACCGTTGGATCGAGCTGATTTTTGGATAGTAGGTTCCAGACATATGGTTCTTCATTCTGACCGTTCGGATCGTCAATCGAAGGTCTAGATTGGGAGAAATTGGTCCCGCACCAGCAGCCCTGTTTTGGAGATTTTTCATCTTCTTTGTTTCTCTTTTGTAAGCATTTGTGCTTAGTTAATTCTGCTTATTGAAAATACCTTTTGGTATTATTATTGGAGACTCTTGTGTACCCCATTATTGATCATAGTGGATTTTTCTTTGGTGCGGACGACTCGTGGTTTTTACCCTTGCATTGAGGGGTTTTCCACGTTAAAATTGTTGGTGTCTCTTTGTGCTTTGGATTCTATTTGTTTGGTGCTCCTCGTGATTCTCGCAAGAAGGGGGATTGAATTTCCGCTGCATTATTACTCTTTGTCAAGTTGTTATATTTGTTTTTTGGCCTTTTTTTTATACCATCGAGTGGCATCGAGCTCTTAGGTTAAGGAATCTGTTTAATTTGCGTGAATGATGGAGGCACATACAAAATTGATTCAGTTGAATGGAGAAAATTATCACTTATGGAAAGGCAAGATGAAGGATTTGTTATTTGTGAAAAATTTGCATCTTCCTGTTTTTGCTTCCAATAAGCCAGAATCCAAGTCGGATGAAGAATGGGATTTTGAACATCAACGGGTATGTGGATTTATCGGGCGGTTTGTTGATGATAATGTTTATAATTTTGTTGCTAATGAGACACATGCGAGAAGCCTATGGGATAAGCTTGAGTCCTTGTATGCTTCTAAGTCGGGGACTAATAAATTGTACTTGCTTTGAAAAATTTTGTGGAGTTGAAGTACAAGGAAGGAACTCATGTTTCAAATCACTTGAGTGAATTTCAAGGACTGCTATGATCAATTAGGCTGGAGTGGGTATAAAATTTGATGATGATCTATTGGGCTTATTCCTATTAAACTCTTTACTGGATTCGTGGGAGACATTTCGGGTTTCCATGATAAGTGCTACCCCTAATGGTGATATTTCTTTGCAAATGGCAAAGAGTGGTGCTCTTAATGAGGAGATGAGAAGGAAGACACGAGGTACTTCATCTCATTCGAAGTGCTTATTACGAGAGAATAGGGGAGAAACCAAAAGAAAGAACAAAACGAGTGGTAGAGATAAAAGCGGGAGCAAGTCCAAGTCTCGGTACAAGAATGTGGAGTGTCACTATTGTCACAAAACAGGGACATATAAAGAAAAGCTGTTTTTTGTGGAAGAAAGAGAGCAAAGACAAAAAGGGTAAGCAAAGAGAAAAAGATAATGATGATGGTGATCGTGTTACTACTACTACATGTGGTGACCTTGTTTGTCTTCGTGATTATGACACTATTAGTCTTGTATCGATGAGAGCATGTGGATAATTGATAGTGGTGCTACTGCTGCATGTTACATCCAGGAAGGAGTTCTTCACATCTTATACACCTGGTGATTTTGGAGTATTGAAGATGGGTAATGATGGGGTGTCTAAAGTTGTTGGTGTTGGTGATGTTCACTTGCAAACCAACATGGGGATGCGATTGTTGCTTAGAGGAGTTAAACATGCTCCGGATGTTCGCTTTAACTTGATCTACGTGCGGGTACTTGATGATGGTGGATATTATAACCATTTTGGTTCGGAAAGTGGAAGCTCACCAAAGGTAACTTGATTGTGGCTAAAGGGAGAAAAACTCTAAGCTTTCTTGGACAAAAGCTTTGGTTGCTAAAGATAGTGTGAATTCAGTGTATATGGAGTCATCTTTGTGGCACGAAGGCTTGGGCACATCGGTGAAAAGGGGCTTAAGCTGCTTATTTAAAAAGGATGTTCTCTCGAGATTGAAGAATGTAGATTTGGAGAAATGTTCTCATTGCATGGCTGGTAAACAAACCGGAGTATCCTTCAAGAAGCATCCTCCCTCCGGGAAGTCGAGTTGCTTGAATTGGTGCATTCGATGTTTGTGGCCCATTGAAGGTAAAGTCTTTTAGTGGTGCACTTTACTTTGTTACCTTTATTGATGATTGTTCCAGGAAGCTTTGGGTTTATGTACTACGAGAGAAAGGACCAAGTGTTGGACAAGTTTAAAGAATTCCATGTTTTGGTTGAGAGGCGGTCGGGCAAGAAGGCTGAAACGCATTCGTGCTTGACAATGGTGGTGAGTATTGTGGACCATTTGATGCTTATTGTAGACAATATGGTATTGCACATGAGAAGACTCCTCCTAAAACTCCTCGATCTGAATGGTTTAGCGGAGAGGATGAACGAGGACATTGATTGAAAGAGTTAGGTGTATGCTTTACGAAGCAAAATTGCCTAAGCATTTACGGGGTGAGGCATTGTTTACGACGGTGCATGTTATTAATCTAAGTCCTGCGAGTTGCTTTGAACTACGAGGTGCCGAGACAAGATTTGGTTTGGCAAGAATGTTACTTATGATCATTTACGTGTCTTCGGTTGTAAAGCATTTGTTCATGTTCAGAAGGATGAAAGATCCAAGTTGGATATGAAGACAAGGCAATGCATCTTTATTGGTTTTGGTCGGGATGAATTTGGCTACAAGTTGTATGACCCAGTTGAAAAGAAAGTTGTTAGAAGTCGTGATGTGCAATTCATGGAAGATCAAACCATTGAAGATATTGATAAGGAGAAGAAGTCTACACCTAAAGGAAATGGTAATGTGGATGATGTTGATCCAATTCGGTTGTCTATTAATGATTTGGATATTGATGCTCATGATGATGAACAACATGGTGATCGCGATAATCAACGAGGTTGAAGATAGCTTGGATGTTCCTATTGATAATGTTGATGAAGAGGAACATGATGTATCACATGATGAGAGTCTTGGTGATATACACGAGCTACCGAAACTCAACCTAGAAGATCTGACAGGCCAAGACAACCTTCTAAGAAGTACTCTACCAATGAGTATGTGATGTTGAGTGATGAAGGAGAACCTGAATGTTATGAGGAGGCAGTTGAAAGTGAAGAAAAGCAAAAGTGGTTGGATGCGATGCGGGATGAGATGAAATCGCTGCATGATAATCACACTTATGACTTGGTGAAGTTGCCTAAGGGTAAGAGAGCCTTAGAGAACAGGTGGATCTTCGGGGTGAAGCAAGAGAGCAATTCTACATCTACCGGATATAAAGCCGGATTAGTGGTGAAAGGCTTTAGACAAAGAAAGGGTGTTGACTTCAATGAGATTTTCTCACCTGTGGTGAGGATGACATCTATCCGAGCTGTGTTAAGTTTAGCTTGCTACTCTTGATTTGGAAGTTGAGCGAGATGGATGTGAAGACGACCTTCCTTCATGGTGATTTGGAGGAAGAGATTTACATGAAGCAACCGGATGGTTTTCTTGTTGAAGGCAAGGAAGACTATGTGTGTAGGCTACGAAAAAGCCTATATGGTTTGAAGCAAGCTCCAAGGCGGTGGTATAAGAAGTTTGAGTACTGTTATGTGTGAGCAAGGCTACAAGAAGACTACTTCGACCATTGTGTTTTTGTCGGGAAATTTTACGAGAATGATTTCATTATCCTGTTGTTATATGTTGATGACATGCTTATTGTTGGAAAAGATGTTTCCAAAATTGACGGAGTTGAAGAAGCAAGCTGGGCAAGTCATTTGCCATGAAAGACATGGGAGCTGCTAAGAAGATTCTTGGTATAAGTATCACTCGTGATAGAAAAGAGAAGAAACTTTGGCTATCACGAGAGCACTACATTCGAGAAGGTGTTGCAAAGATTCCAAATGGAGAATGCTAAGGTTGTAAGTACTCCTCTTGCTACTCATTTTAAGTTGAGTGTTAAACAAAGTCCTTCAAATGAAGTTGAGAAGATAGCTATGAGAAAAGTTCCTTATGCTTCGCGGTGGGTAGTTTGATGTATGCAATGGTATGTACAAGGCACGATATTGCACACTGTTGTTGGTACGGTTAGCGATTTCTGTCAAATCCAGGTAGAGAGCATTGGAATGCTTTGTGAAATGGATTTTGAGGTATCTTCGTGGTACTAGAGGTTTGAGACTTTGTTTTGGAGGTGATAAGCCTACTTTGGTGGGTTACTCAGATTCGGATATGGCTGGAGACATTGATTCCGGAAAGTCCACTTAGGCTATTTGATTCGGTTTGCGGGGGAGCTTTGGCTTGGCAATCAAAGTTGCAAAAGTGTGTGGCGTTGTCTACTACTGAGGCGAGAATTCATTGCACTTGCTTGAAGCATGCAAAGAGTTGTTATGGGTGAAGAAATTCTTGCGGGAGCTTGGTTTTGTGCAAGATAAATACTTGTTGTATTGTGACGAGTCAAAGTACTATTCATCTTGGTAAGAATCCAACTTTTCATTCTAAATCCAAACATATTGATGTGAGGTATCATTGGATACGTGATGTTTTGGATGCTAAGTTGGTGGAACTAGCTAAAGTTCATACGAGATGATAATGGTGCTGATATGATGACCAAGGCATTGCCAAGAGGAAAGTTTGAAGTTTGTTGTGAGATCGCTAGGTTTGGCGGATATCTCCACATAGTCGTGAGGGGAGATTTGTTGGGTTATTGGGCTCCCTTCCTATGTGGAGAATAGGCCCAAATAGTGTGGTCCATTATGTCTCATTTGGGTAAAATGAGATGGGTCAGATTAGTAGAGGACAAGAGAGTCATTTGAAAAAAGACAAAAAGTCTAGTGAGAGAAAAAGAAAGAGAGAAAGTCATCTCCGCATAACCCTAAATCTGCACTGGTGTTTTCGTCGCTGTGAAGTCGTTCACCGTTGGATCGAGCTGATTTTTGGATAGTAGGTTCCAGACATATGGTTCTTCATTCTGACCGTTCGGATCGTCAATCGAAGGTCTAGATTGGGAGAAATTGGTCCCGCACCAGCAGCCCTGTTTTGGAGATTTTTCATCTTCTTTGTTTCTCTTTTGTAAGCATTTGTGCTTAGTTAATTCTAGCTTATTGAAAATACCTTTTGGTATTATTATTGGAGACTCTTGTGTACCCCATTATTGATCATAGTGGATTTTTCTTTGGTGCAGACGACTCGTGGTTTTTACCCTTGCATTGAGGGTTTTCCACGTTAAAATTGTTGGTGTCTCTTTGTGCTTTGGATTTATTTGTTTGGTGCTCCTCGCTGATTCTCGCAAGAAGGGGGATTGAATTTCCGCTGCATTATTACTCTTTGTCAAGTTGTTATATTTGTTTTTTGGCCTTTTTTTTATACCATCAAAATGTATGGAAAAGGAGGCACTGGGGATATCATCCAATCAGGAGCTTAAAAATGTCCAATCTAAAAGAAAGTTCCAGCATGTGGTGGTTGATGAGTCAGCATCATGGAAATGGATAGAAAACTATAATAAGACAAGATGTGGCTTAAATTCACTTGTTGAGAATCAACGAATGGAGTTAAGTGATGCACTAGTTGATTCTATGCAGCCTCATGAAAGATGACTGCAGGGGCAAAGATTACCACTAGTTAGACTTGGTGATTATGAGGCATTTTCTAGCACAACGAGAGGTGTTTAAATACATTTGGACTTTCGCTCAGAACCAATAAATTGGGAGCATGGCATTAAAGAAGTGTGGAAATGTGAAGGAATCATCGCTATCAAAAGGAATCAAACATGGAACTTGTAAACTTAACATCTGATGAATAGCAGATGTGAAATAGAATTTTAAAGAGAAGATGAAACCATTTGGATTGTTAAGAGTGTAGCAAGGGAAGAAATTTCGTTTTATTAACAAGTAAACCAAATTAGTTTTATGAACATAATAAGCTTATGTATGAGCAATAGTATTCCAAACCAGAATATCAATTTCTTTCATGCAGTCAACCAGTGGAATCATCATATATATGACAATTCTAGCCAAGCTCAAACTTTTATTTTGTCCAACACCATATTACACAGATATTATTTGGGTTTCTTTCTAGGTCCTCCAAACATTATAATAAGATCAACATCACCATTCTTTTATTAGGAAAATACATATTCTAAATAAACCGAACTCAGAATAAGAAACTGGGCTCCAAAGTTGATTGGCATACTGGTGCAAGCTGACTCCAAAGAAGATTCCATGTTTGGTTGTAGAATTCTAGTGGGGTGGATGGTGCATGTTCAAAACTTGTTGGAAAAACACCCTCTTCTGAAGTCCTTTGCTTTTTGGCTGATTGATGCTCTTCCTCAGTTTGGGACTTCAATGATTCAGAATCCTCATAAAGAGAAGGCAGGGGTGCAGTTGTAGAAGAAGCAAAAGGCTTGCTTGATTTTCCAATTATTGTCTTGCTTTGATTACTTTGTCCAATTCTCTCAAAGTACTTTCGTTGTGCTTCAACTTTTACCTTCAAACTTCTCTGAACCTTTAAACCAATTAAACAAAAATCACTGAAGAAATTCTCTCCGTCTTTGTTTTTTGTTCAAAGAAAACGAATGCTTTTCATGTTTCATGTTTTGATTCCATTATAGAAACAAAATGTATAAAGACACTGTGTGAATGAATGAGATACAATGTGGAAAATTTATAAAAAAAAGGGTGTTAAATTTTCACGCGAAACAGAAGATTGTGTATGCAAGAAGAGGATAGATTTTTTTGACACTTTCCCATCATAAATTAAAGTTTGCTAACTTGCAGATTTTAAAGATAACTTTTATGCTACAAATACATAAAAATAAAATTGAAAAAAGTGTTTGCTAAAAAGATGAGTTGATCTCACTTCAATGCTGGTAAAAATATTTTGGTGAAAACTAAAAAAAAATACCTCTGTTTTATCACTCATGCGATTTTGCATCTCTGTCTGCATTTGAAGGAGTTCCTTTAGTTGAAGAGCACTGTTCATGTACAAACATGAATAGTCAAAACATAATTGAAGTGCTGAAGGATGCAAAAATGAAAGATGAAAAGGTGAGAAAAAGAAAATATTGTTGTTGAAGGAATTACTGACTCACGATGTAGAACTAAAATTTGGGAGTATATCTGATATGCTTCTCTTCTCAATTTTTCCTCCTTCATAGATAATTAAGGAACTAGTTATGAATTCACATGAGTTTGGTGTTATTAGAGTTCAATTAGCATCAAAAACTTGCTTTAGTAAATAACTTACTTGTGGGAGACTCTGGAATCAATTTGGAGATCCTGTATTTCTGAACACATACATGTTGAGCTAGTCAAATTTCTGAACCTAATTAACTTTATTTTGAGTTTTCAACTTAATTATTTGGTTTAAACTTTTAGATATGAATAATGACCTTTGAAGTTTAAAATTTCTCTCTCTCTCTCTCTCTCTCTATATATATATATATATATATATATATATGTGTGTGTGTGTGTGTGTGTTATTTAAGACACTAATTTTATGCGATTTATATTTCTATACTCTATAATGAAACATCAATTTGTTTTATTCTTGATGAAACATCCTCTTTGGTATTCAACATTGATTTTCCAATTTAAAGAAACACAAGCATGTTAAAATTGTGAATAGATCTCATTCCTTCCAAGAAGTAAAAATAAATATAGATTCTATAAAAGTATTTCTTTTACTTTCTAATTTCAATTGTATTAAAACATTTGCAAGGTGAAATTGATTTGAAAAAATGTATTTTTTAATATTATATAGCACTAAATTTAATATATATATATATATATATATATATCATGTGGGGAATATATTAATTTCAGTTGAAAACTTAGATTAGCATATTAAGATATTAATATAAACTAATTAAAACATTATCTTTGTGTACCCTTGATTTTAAAATAAATTTATTTAAAATTTATAATAACAAAGTAAATAAATGAAAAATAATTAAGAGTAATAAAATGAAAAAAAAAGAATAATTGTAATTCAAAATAAATATTTTGATGTCGTAAAAAATCAATTACAATATTATAAAATCAATTACAATATTATAAAATCAATTACAATATTATAAAATAAATTACATTATTATTTTCATTTAACTCTATACAATGTACATGTTAGCATTAGATTATAAATATAAATATACATAATTATATCTAATTCGGGCATCAATTATAAAAAATAAAATAAACAAATAATTATTAAAATTTAAATGAGTGTATTCATTAAAATTTGTAAGATTTTAAATGTGTTAACGTTTGTTATTTAAAAATAAACGTTATCTCAGTATTTTTAGAATATCTAAACTACTTTTTCTTCTGAACGAGAACTTAACCCATAGGCCCACGAAAGGAATTCATGGGCCCATGACTGTGAATGATGTAGACCTTGTTTGCTAAGTTTCACAACTTTTTGTGGTTTTTCTTTTTCTTAACATTTCTAAATTCTGAAGTCCAAGGAATGGAGGAGAGAGATTAAAGTGGTGTATTATTTGCATAAGAAAAATGAAATTGAAGATTGGGAAGTATATATTTTCTTTTAAGAAATATATAACTAAAATGGGAAGTTGAGTTTGAAAATGATAATGCAAACATTATTCCTTTCACAATTTTCACATTTTACACCATGGAAAGATCTCCACCACAAATCACAAATTGAAAGTAAGAGAAAGAGAAAGAGAAAGAGAGAGGAACCTGCAAGTGACTTTTGACGTGATAAATGCTTAGCTCTGAAATACCCATTCCCTTCATTCCTTTCAATATACCTTTTGGTGTTGCCCCTGCACAAAAAAAAGCTTATGTATTAGTTATTTGTTAAAAATGATTTTCTATTAATTTATTTAAAATTTAATATTTTAACTTATATATAAACTAAGTTAAATTTATATATAAATAAGTTTTATTTGTTTTCTCTTCTAACCAGATATTTTATCTCACTAATTTGATGGGTTACCACTCCAAGTAAATGAGGATTTGACATGCAACGAAGGACTTACTATCAGGGCCCCCTAGTCTATTTACAGCGTCCACAAAGCGATCATGGAGTTCTTGAGTCCAACGTAGGCGTCCTTTGGCAGTGGCAGAGCCACGTGAGCGAGAGGAACCCATTCCACTACTTTTGGGGTCTAAGAGGCCCAAGCACGGGGGGGTAAAGAGGAGGATTATAGCAGAGAAGTTTGTAAAAACGACAAAACACAGAGAATTAACCAAGGTGGCGATGTCAACTAAGCTACATTGCCTTTCCTTATATTCTGCTAAATGTCTTTAGTTGTCGAAAAAATCCATGTCTCAAACTTAATTAACCTTTGGTGTTCTGGTTTATTCCTTTGTCCCCATGGGAATGATTCAATTGGTGGCGATAATGTCTATGGTTCACTCCATGTCCACACCAACTTTCCTTGTCAATTCAATTTCATTTGTTGCTTGGTGAAATGGAACACTTGCATCGGAGTGAAGTCAACATAGAATTGAAAAGTTATGAATGCATTGCTGGTCAATAATCTCATCTTTTTTTTCCTCTTTTTGTTACACACGGATTATTTCAGTTTGATTCATAAATTTGTGGTCTGATGTTTTGTTCCTAATGCCAGGTTTCTACCTATTTTTCCAGTAAGTGTGAACATAATATATTCAAATATTTACGTGTTCTTTAAATAATCTAAAATAGTATTTTAACTAGGAACTCGTGGGATTGACACACATTAATATTACATAAATATCTTTTATCAGCTTACGAGTAATCTTGGTTAAAAGAAAAAAAAACTTTTATAATTATGAAAAAAAAATGGTTATTATTATATAAGATATAGAATCTACAGTAAAATTGGTGAATTTGAAATTATGAAAACTATTTTCAGAAAATAGAAATAGAGAACACTTTCTGAAATCAATGTTTCTTTTTTTTTTTAAAACATTATTATTACTATTTCCTAACATTTTTTTTTCAAAAAAACAAGCGATGGAACGAGAAACTCTCCTGACAAAATTCATTCTAAACTCAAATCTCGAAATCAATGAAATCTAAGATAACACGCTTAAGAAATCATAGAATACGCACACGTTAAATTTAAGAAAAGCCTTTCTGGATGTTAAAATATGCTCTCATTTCAGAAACAGAAAAACTAAAAGTCCCACAGAAATTCATTCCAGCTTCAAGTTCACTACCCATCCATCCTGGCTTTTAAGAATAGGTATCATCAAAAGACACAAAATTGACACTAAAAATCAAAATTTAACGTCTTACTTGACACACATAATTCAGTTTCTTTTTCGTCCAAGTCCTCTGCTTGAAGCATTCCGCACATAATTTTTTTATTAACTCACCATGCAACACAATGAAAGTTGGATTATAAGAAACTGTGGAGGAGAAAAGCTTGTTTTCTCTATGATAAAAAAAAATACAAAATATAAATTCAAGCAAATGTTCAACTAAATATAAACTAATCATCCAATGAAAATTTGTCATGTTCTATTCTATACTGTGTATCATACACCAATAGTTCATCTTGGTGAAAAGAAACTTGATCCCTGATTAGTTTGCCCATTACATGAACTTTGCAAGTGAAGTAACAAAATTACAGTAACTTCTAAGCCACGAAACAACACTCACCTCACATGCACCCTTTCCACTGTCTTCACTCTAGGGCCTGCCACGTCTCAGGCTGCATGATGGACATTTATACTGCTTTATGCTCTCAGCCTTTGCAGGGGTGATTTTAACACACTTCCCATGGAACCACCTCTCACATATGTCGCAGCAAATCCAAAACTCGTCGGCATTGTAATTTCCACCACAGCTTCCACAGAGTGTTTCATTGTGCTCATCTTCATCCTCCTCGTAACCCTCATCTGCAGCAAACTTTGGGTTGCTTTTAACTTGCCCATCATTGGATCTCTGCATATAAATGTGCAGGAATGCATCAGATATGAAATATGCAATGTGGCCTCGCATGGTTTTGCATACACTCGAAGGCAGAAGCTTCAACTAGTTGTGCAATAACATACAAACACAGACATCATGGTATAAATAGTTTAGAATACTACTTTGTTTTCAAAAAAAATTATCTTTTTAGGAATAGCAGCAGTGACAAGTGTATGATCTTAAACGATGACAACAAACTCACTCCTAACACACTCTTTACTATTTGTTAATATTTCTTGGAAACTACTAAGTCTTGGAGTGAGAAATCATTAAATAAGAAGTGTTACATTAAAAAAATTTTTACTAATAAATTTCAGCCAAAAATGAACAGTGCATTTAAGAGAGATTGTTGCTACTCAAGAAACAATTATCAGTAGAAAAGAAATACACTAGCCTTGGTGCTTCCCCGAGACTTGCTTCCACTATCCACGGTGGGCTTGTCCTTAATTGGTTTCCTTTCAGTCACAACTTCAAAAACGGATGGGAGATCGTTGATCAAACTAAACAAACGTTTCCTGCCATAAAGAAATGGGGTAGCCATCAATAGAAGGAACCATATGCAGCAAATGCCACGAAAAAAAAATACTATAATAAAGAAATTCAATAGAAATCCCATATGTTGATATCTCTTGTAATTAGTAATTGCAGAAATTTCTAGTTGAAGGGAAAGCCATATGCGAGAAACCATGTAATCCCACATAGCAGAGCAAAGAAGCCAAACCACAAAAGTGCTACCAACCAAAAGTGCTATAACAGTATAGCAGTTTACAGAGCAGCTACTATTTTCAAGATATTTAAAGACAAACATTATTAATCTAAGGATGGAAACAATGTCAAAGGTCAGAACAGACAAAATTAAAACTAAAAGGAGTCAAAATCAAACAACTTAACATACTGAAAAAATTATGTATGTGTAAGAGTAAGTGTGTGTGTGTGTGTGTGAGAGAGAGAGAGAGAGAGACCAAAAGGTAATTCAAACTGCCAATGTCATCATATTTACATGTTGACATGCATAAACTTTTATGGGGATAATCAGAGCAGTCAACAAGGCTAATCTCACTGGCAACCTCAAACGCACATTTTTTTATTGCAAAACAAGGAACGCCTATGTAAACCTATCAGGCATCAGATCACAACAGACAATAGAGAAATTTGAATGTTGGTTATTTCTTGAGACTTTCATCAATCGTAGTGATTCAGATGAATGCTGAGCACCAACCACAATTGTAACCCATAATTTCAACATTAAACAAGGATAGAGAGCCAAAACTTGAATTATCACCACATACAAGCATATCCATCAAACTAGATCTTACCTTTCATTGCGGTTAAGGCGAGCCCCGAGGTAAAAGGCCACAGAAACCAACCATGAGTCACTGTGCACAGCAACCAGAGAAAGCCAGTCCCTACGGTTCATGCCATCCCTAGCAAAATTGATTCCAAGAGCTGGCTCAGGGAGCTCTGGTGGAACTTCCTCTGCTGGCAGAGTTACTTCCCAGGCCTCATTTGGATGTCCATATAGGCACAGGTTATCCTTATCTTAAAGAAAGACACCAGAGACTTCAAATTTAATGGAAGGACACAACACATTATTCAATAATTACAAAACCTCAGTTTAATGGGAACCAAAACCCAGCAAAATGAATGTGGTTGCTGCCATCTAACCAGACTTGAATGTCAGAACATACCCAATGCTATCTCATTCAAAATTCCCTCGATAACTAAACGAGACTAAGCGAGTTTTTGGATTTACATTGGACAGCCTAAAATCCAAAATCAGAGTTGAAATACCAGTGACCAATTAAAGAGATTTTGATTCAAAATCAATCTTGAGTTGAAAAGACATTAGCTAATTTTAATAAAATTTTACTACTAACTTGTTCTAAAATAAAGACATTCCGGCGTAAATTATTCACACTAAAATCAACATTAACCAAAATCAATTTCATAGAAAATCAGTTCTGCACAAACTCACCCACACAGACCAGCACAAGAACTCACATTCCTCTCATTACTGCAGACCCATTTCGTTTTACCCGAATTCCTAGCGTAAAAACTCTCCCTTATTCACTCCAATTAAGAAAGTAATTTGCAAATTCACAAATAAAATAAACACATAACAAAAACCAACCTATGGAACCAACCCATGAAAACCCAGATCCTAATCACCCTTTACCTGGATCGCAGAGCCCGTAAAATTCATCAACGTCTGAGAGAAGAAAAGGGCAAAAAGGTCATTAGGAGATGGGAGAAGCAAATGGAAGAAAAAGAGAGTTGCATTGGAGAGAAGAGCAGTACCATGAGTGAGAGCACGAATAACAGCGGTTCTTCTGGCGCTATAGTCCTTGAAGATCTCTTCAACGGTGCGGGGACTGGAAGCCATGTCCATAACCCAATTGAGATCTAAGCGTAGGGGTTTGGGATTTGGAGAAGCTAAATGGAATTGGAGAGAAAGACCATGGGAATTGATCAAAGAGGTTGGAGAAATAGAGGAAAAATAAAAACTTGAAGAATGTGTATTAGTATAAGTAGTACTCAATAAGGCTAAAGTGCCTCCTCCACTCCTATGTTATACACTCTCACCCTTTCTTTCCACTAACAAAATAGGTTTGATGAGAAATTAGGTCTAAAATAATTAATTGGCTACAAAATCCTATATTTCTGGGTAGGATCAGTTTGTGCAACCTTTACATATAGAAGCAAATTAGGGTTGATTAGGATAATTTTTATATATCATAGCAAGTTTTAGTCTATTAGGATAACTTTTATAGGTCAAATAAATTAACACAATTCTTGTATCAAACGAGTTTAGGTTGAACTGAGTCTTATCCAAGTGTTCTGATTTTATTTAATTAAAATTACAAAAAAATTATGAGGATGATTATATATTTTTTTCACAAGTGTCTTATATGTCTTTTGAATTATCATACAATTTATACTTATTTATGAAATATATTTAGTTAAAGATATAGAATGGTTTATAAATGAGACGCTTTAAAATTTAAGCTATATTTATTATGTTTAATATATATTTTATCTTTTATTTAGTATTTTGTTGAAGAAAAATTAGAAATAAGAGTAAAATTGAGAATTGATCCAATCTAAACCATTTAAGATTCTAATTTTTAAAAAATGTAAAATGTATGAGATTGACTGGATAATGAATTAAGAAAAGTCAATTGATTGGATTGAATAGTTTTTTTCTCTTTAAAATTGATCCCTTTTAATTTGTAAACATTCTTAGATTTTATTATTTATGTTCATGTTTCCATTATGGGAACATGTTTAAAATAATGGTTATAAGAAACCATCCTCTACCCCTCTATAAATAAATAGAAATTTGTCTTAAGAGTGCTTTTATGGAATGTAATTAGAAGTTTCTATTTTCATTTAGAGCATTTTAATAGTTTTTTTAAACATTTTATTGTTTTTTTTAATTAAATCAGTTAAAAAAATTATTAGTGATTAAAGATAATATTGTATCATAATATGCATTATTTATCATACATTTAACTACAAATTATATTTATCTGATGTATATATAAGATCCAAGTGATAGACAACAAATATTATATTACATATTATTAAAAATTTTAATCATGTTAATGAGAAAATTATAAATGTTTTTTATTTGAAGAAATTATATTGTAAAAAAGATAGTTATTTTTGTAGGAAAGAAATGTATGATTATTAATTTATAATTTATTAAATAATTAAAATAATTATATTTAATAAAGGATAACGATAAAAACATATAGCGATATGGATGAATTTTAAATATAATGAAATTATTTTTTTAATGTTTTAATTTCTGTTACATTTCCTTTTTGCCGTTTAATATGTTGTAGTTAAACTCTTTTCTTCCATCTCCTTCATTTCATTTCATTTTGTATACATTACAAATCTGGAAATGAAAGAGAGATCATAAGTCATTATTGGAAATGTCATTGAAAAATACATTCTTCGGATACTCTTGAATATTTTTCTTAATATTCTTTTGTTGTATCGCTTTGTTATTTCAATTTTCATTCCTGACACATTCACTCACCCATTCCCCGTTTCTTCATCTTCTAAAATAAATTAACAATTAAAGAATAATATACATAAATTTACCAAACAATTAAACTCATTCACTTTCGACTAGAGTAAATAAACTAATTCTGAAAACATGAAAGATAAGAGATAAGTTTTTATTTTCTTGAAAATTTTAAATTTAGAAATTACATTTCTCATGATTTATCTTTTAAAGTTAAATTTATTTTTTTTAATCAAATTTCCCACAAAAATGTTCCTACATAGAAAAGAAGGTGATAATCTAACTTTTCCTAAGTTGAAATAAAAATCTTAATGAAAAAAAAAACATTTTACTCTTATAAATAATTTAATATAGTAATAAATAGATATTTTAATAAAAATAACATCACTGTTTTTATATCTAGAAAATTATATAAGTATTTTCAAAAATATTTTAAACTTTTTATTTGGCCATTCTTAGAAATTATAAATTCTTATGTATAAAAGAATTTTTCTTATAGTATTGGTGGTCAATGATGATGTGATATTCCACTAATAAATAAAGCTTTATCAAATGACATACCAAGTCATAGGTTTTCTTATGTGCACATGTATAGCTGAAATGGATGATTCAAAAATACAAAGAAGTGCATGAAATCATTGAAGATAAGAAATTCAATTGTTGCAGACACTTTTGACATGAGCAAGGTGACAAGTGGTTAAGAAATTTCTCACTACCAAAAACTAAACAAGAAATGAAACAATTAACAAATACCAACCTCTATTAAACTACTCTAATTGAAAGATCAGTTCACAGTGGCAGCAATTTCAAAATGTAAAGAAACCAAGTATGACACAACTGACATTTTACTATGTTAGACAAATGGTAGAAAGAGCTACCACCATTGCTTAAGGAGATGTCAACAATCGCTTGATGCCACTTTTCTGATCGGATGTGAGCCTGGAGGGAAACTTGATATTGAACTTGATTCTCAAGTTCCCCTTCTTGGAAGGTTCTTTGGGAAGGGGCATACCCTCTCCTTTCACAACTTCTTCGTATGTCGGGCTAATCGTGTTGTTAACTGGGATTGTCAGATTCCTTCCATCAAGGGTTATCAGCTGCACTGTGTAACCTGTCAAGGCTTCAACCAGAGATATTTTCTGGGTGACAACAAGATCATTGCCATCCCTCTTAAAGAGGCTATGAGGCTTCTCATCGATGATGAATACAAGGTCTGCAGGGATAACACCTCTTTGTTGATTTCCCTTTTCAGGAAATGTTATTTTTGTTCCTTTCTTCCAACCTGGCTTGATCTCAATTGTAAGGATTTCCTCTACTGTGGAGGGTCTCCTGCAAAGAAGAAAAAATGTAGTAGATTAGATAGTCATAATCACAATATCAAAGCTTTCAAACATATTTTCACGATTCATCATACTTTCTTATGTAACTTAACTTGACAACAAGATGATTTTTCAATGAAAGTAAAATCCATATGAAAATTTCCTTTAATCTGGCATACATAGATGAAAGCAACAAGAATGAATGTTCACAAAAATCATGCCTCAAGATCAACATTATTATTCTGCAACTGACTATGAAAAGCCATCTCCCATAAAAGCTCCTTGAATGTCATAGTAGTCAACAGCAGGCTACAGTGACATTGTGGAGTGAGTGACCCTAGGCCACAATAGGATTCAAATAGAGGACAACCTCATGACCAGAGGCATGTAATGGTTTTCAGAAACTCATTTTTTTACCCTGTAACAGTAAAAGCATATGTCAGTTTTTCGGTCTTTTTTTTATTGCATGGGGGGGTGGGGGGTGACTCTCACTTGTACCCTCTTTCCAAAACTCGAGGTAAAACTATTTCTCCCTACATTTCCCACCATGTGAAACTCTCCTGCATAGGTTGTAGCTTCTAGGTTGTGGTATCCAACATCAGTTCAATAGGAGACATTATGTTCCAATGTTCGTAGTCCACTTTTATCAGTCTAGACAATTTTTACATAATTTCTTTTTTGTAATGAACAAGGTGATTAATGTAGGAATACCAAGAGAAACAAACCCATTCATGAACAAATCCCAGATTCAACAGCTGTATAAAAATATTGATGAACATAAAGAGGCCAGATAAAGTAGTGATCGGTAATGCCTTATTCTAAATTCCTTTGTCTGGCTACCTTTTAGTCATTTCATAACAGCACAAATGTTGGCCTCCTATCTAAGGGCAGCCTAAGTTTGGCACTCATGGAATACAAATGACTATAACTTGAACTGAGAAATGTGCCAACAAGGACGAAAAGTGAATTTCACTAACTTGTACACATGTGTCACCAAGCAATAAAAAGAAGAAAACATTCAGTCACATACTCAAATTTCATGCAAAAATGCTTACTAATTATAAAATACCAAAACATGTTTATCAGCACCTGTGAGACTGAAAGAACCAGTGAAGGAAACTTGTCCAAGAGTTAAATCATATTACCTAATTTTAATAGCATACTCCTTAACTATTAGCAATGCAACACAAGTGACAACTAAATTTTGAATCAGTGTGGAAAACTTTGAACAATAAATTCTTTGTAGTAATCTTGTGAATGAATTTTTTCCTATATGAAGAACAAAAGTCTACAATCACTAGCAAAATATCATATTCAACGTCTTAACAGAAGAAAAAAAAAATTGTTCGTGAAAAACATATCAAAACTACATAAATGTGATACATCAACAGAACCTAATCTACCACTTCAACGGTAGAAAGAGGATTACTCTAAGCCTACAACACTGCAAACATACAGCTCAATTTCAAAGCTACCACACTATCGACCCAACTGATCAGATTAAAACAAATCATCAAACTCTGCATGAAATTTGATAATTTGATTCCTTGCAATTGTACACTAGCATAAACAAATTCAGTTCTTCTTGATGAAACTAGAAAAGTAAGGCATTCAAGTGAGTAAAAGTAGAAAACTCACCCATTGACATCACTAACATCCCTTGAAATCTTCATTTTCTTGGTAGTCCCTTTATACAAATCCTCCAAACTACAATGTACTGTTCTTTCAATGGGTGCCCCTTTCCTTGGCATATGGCCTGAGCCCTCCCCAGCTGCATTCCGAAATTGAGCAAAAATATCTTCACCAAACGTGCCACCCCTGGAAAATCCAGGTCGACCACCCATATCCCCCATTCCACCACGACCAAGGGGACTCGTAAACCCGAAAAACTCAGAAAAAATATCATCTGCAGTTCTGGGATTGAACCGGAATGTTGTCGGCCCACCGTCGCTGCCACCCGGAAAACCACCGCCACTAGGCGGCACCCCATTCAACCCCTCCTCACCATACTGATCATACATTGCTCGCTTCTGTGGATCACTCAAGACCTGTTTCACATTTCAAATTAGGACCCGTGAACTCAAAATTGAAAAACCTTGTAATTGCAACTTTGCACGAAACCATACAGAATCAAATTTGAATTGTGTTCTTAAACACTAAGCTGTTCAATATTCAAATTAGGGTAAAACAAGAAAACCCCACCAATTCAAAACAGTTCTCCATCCAAACCCATGATCAAAATTTCAACTTTCAAGGGGAAAACAACAAAAAACTCAAACTACTTCAAATAAACACAAATTTTTAAAAGGGTATATTGAATTGACATACATCATAAGCTTCTGAGATTTGCTTGAATTTAGCTTCAGCGTCTTTCTTGTTGTTAGGGTTCTTATCAGGGTGCCACTTCATGGCCAGGCTTCGATATGCTTTTTTAATATCATCATCTTTGGCGCTCCTATCTACCTGAAGAATCTTGTAGTAGTCCACGCCCATGTTTTGTCTGCTCTTTCTTCACTGCTACGAAAGTAGAGAATGAGGGATTATCTGGTATCACTTTTATATAGGCAAAAACATCATCATAATGATATCACGTTTCTTCCTTCAAATACAAATACAACACAGAGGTACTGGGAGGAATATATCTCGATTCTTTAGTCACAAACCACGCTACATGTGTTGTGAATTTATCATTTATTTTATTTAAATAAGTTTAATTTACCCTAACTAGCAAATTTTTTCTATTTTGTTTTTAATATATATATATATATATATATATATATATATATATATATATATATATATATATATATATATATATATATATATATATATATATATATGTGTGTGTGTGTGTGTGTGAGAGAGAGAGAGAGAGAGAAAAAAAAATAAAAGAAGCGTTTTCTTGTTCTGAAAGATGTTATTTCATAAATCTAGGTAATTAAAAAAAAAAGTATTACGTTGATATTGTTCATGCTAAAACAATATGTGCCTTATTTATAAATCTAGGTAATTAAAAAAAATTAACTAAATCGAGGATTGAAAATATATTTTAGCAAAAATAACTTAAAAATGAATTTTAGCAAACATATTTAAACTAAAAAAATCCATTGTCTCGATTTTGCTTAACAAATGTAATTTTATTGAGTTTAATTGGTCTACTAATTAGAAGAACCAACTGCTCAAATATGTTATTTGGATGAGAAAATATTTTTTTATAGCAAATTTAAAATATATTTATAAAAAAAATGTTGTTTGGAAGAAGAATATTAAAAGAAAATCAAAATTTTATAATTTTATAAGAATAATTTTATTATTTTAGATTATAGAATTTCAAAATTTATTTAAAAATAATAATTTCAAAATTTTCATATATTTTTCTCTTATAAATTTATGATTTTCTTTCATTTTTTTTCTTTAACTTCAAGGTCAACAGTTAAATCAATATTATAAATAATATATTTAAGAAGATAAATTATTTAAATAATTCTTTTAAGTTTATTTATCCAATTAAATATATTTGTTGTTCAAACAAAATTCAGATAAATATATTCATCTTATATAATACATATTTTTCTTAGTTTCCTTATTTATTTATTTTTTTCTCTATCTTCGTTTACTTATTATTATTTTTTCTTTTTTTCTCTTTTTTCCTCTTTTATTCTTTTCTTACTTCATCTTATTCTCCAATTAAAAATAGTAAATTGAATTTTGATAAATTAAATTTTTTATTATTACTAAAAAATAAAAAATTTAAATGATCTAGAAATATTATAATTTAATATATTATATTTAAAAAATATCATATAATAAATTTTAAGAGGTTACAATTATTATTGTTATATTATAATTATTAAGAAAAAATTAAAATTTATTTGAAAGAAATTTTACAATAAATATTTTTTTAAATTATCTAATCTAACTAATTAACATAACTTAATCTAATTATAACTAGATTAAATTCTTAAGTAAAAAATACATTTAATTCATAAATATTTAATATTTTTTAATTAGATGAGTAAATAAAACAAATTTTTTATGTTATCATAAATAAAATTATTTATTGTCAAAATAAATAAAATTATTTATTGTAATCATAATTTTAAATAATTAATTAATATTTTTAAATTTTTATGTTGATTTTAAAATATTTATTTTACCATATTCTTATTAAATTTCAATATAAGAACTTAATTAGAAGAATAGGTAAGAGAGAAAAAGAAAGAAAGAAAAATGTTAGACAAATGACATTTAGAGAGGGTGAATAGATGCACAAATTAAAATAAATGTCAAATTAAAAATTTATTTGTGAGTCAATAATTTGTTTGAACACAAATAAAGCGGAAGCAATAATATAATCAGGAAAAGAGAAAGAGATAAGGGAAAGAGAAGAGCACACAGAGATTTATACTGGTTCGGATATAACCAACCCTATATCCAGTTCTCAGTCAACTCTTAACACAAGAGTGACTCCTCATTCACTATCTTTCAAATTTAGATTACAAATTACAATCAACTCAGCAGAAAAACCAGTAAAAAGTAAACTAATTAAAAAGACAATCACCTCCTTAGAAACTCACTAAGGATGAACACCTCCTTAGAATCCCACTAGGGATGAACACCTCCTCTGAACAAATTAAAGGATGAAAACACCTCCTTAGAATCTCACTAAGGATGAACACTTCCCTAGAATCACACTAGGGATGAAAAATACCTCCTTTTCACCAATACAAAAAGGATGAAGGTAATAAAAACAAGAACAAACACACCTGGGTAATGGAGACAACAAATTGTAGAAGCCTGTAGAATGTCAATCTCCAAGAACAAGTATGATTAACAATGAAAGCACAGAAGACAGTAGAGAATAGGGTTTTCTCAAAAGGTGTAGAATATCTTTGTTGTATTGCTCAAAATTCTTTTCTCAAAACTGATTGAATGTAAATTGTATTTTCAAATTCTGTAATTGTGTGTTTTATATTTTTCATCAAAACTTAATTAAATAGGAAAAATAGAATCAGAAAATGGTCGTTGGACATTAATATTTTCGTGAATAAAAATCAGGATATATTCAGAAATATTTATTCTTCAAAACAAATATATTTTTCAAATTTGAATTGTCATAATTGATTATGTTACCAATATAATCAATTATGACAGAGAAAATCATTTTTCATTTCTGATGCATCATAATTGATTATGACAGTGAAAAATATTATGTTATGAATTTTATCACACTTGCGCTTTGGAGGCTTATGCATAATATTATTTCATCAACTTGTACCTCCATATTCAGTATTCTAAAACTCTATCAAGTTTTCAAGAATCATCTTGGCGTGCTTGAATCATCATCTTTATCAAAAACATAAATTGGCCATGTAGGGAAATGTTTCACATTTTCACCAACATCTTAAATTCAGCTTGTCCTTAATTAGGCATGGCAACGGGGCGGGTTTTGCCTCCCGATCCTCGTCCCCGACTTTTTTAACCATCCCCGTCCCCGCTCCGATCCCTTCCGGGGTTAGAAATTAAGTTCTCATCCCCGTCCCCGCTGGGTTTCGGGTTTCCGCCCCGCCAGTCCCGTCCGTCCCCGATCTATATTATTTTTAAAAAGATAATTATATTTATAATAAATTAATTTTACTATCTATTTTTATATATAACTAAATATTTATAATTTATAATTATTATTAATTAAATATATATTTTAATTTACTATATTTATATTAAAATATATATGTAAAAGAAATATTTAATCATTTTTTATTTATAATATTATTATTATAACACTTGTATTGAAATATTTAGATACTTATAACATTATTATTATTATTATAATATTATATTCAAACATTTGATTATATATATAAGTTAATTCATTTTTAAGTTGTCATTTAAAAATATTAAATATATAGTTTATAAGGAAATATTTAATAAGTTAATTCTTATTCAATTAGTTCGAAGTAATAAAAGTTTAAATTATCAATTCTTTTAATCCTTTAAAATACAATTATTTTATTAAGATAAAATTTGATATATGATAAATCAGAATAATAAGATAAAAAAATATGACATAATAAAACTTAATAAATATAAATTACAAATAAAATAATATTAGTTACTAATAAGATTTATGTAAAATATTTATAAAAAGATAAAGAATAAAAAAAATAACTTTATGTTCATCAAATTGGTTAAAAAGATTGAAAAAAAAACAAATTGATGGGAGAGATTAAGAAAATATGAAAAACTGAAAGGTAAGAGAGAATAATGTAATAAATTAATTGATATAAAAGATTAAAAAAGACAACAAAATTAAAAAGTGGGTAGAAGAAAAAAAAATTGGTAAAATATAAAAAAATGACCTTATATGTAATAGAAAAAGAAAAGGAAATACCTTTAAAATATTAATATTTTAAAATTTAAATTTAAATATAAAGTCGGGGCGGGGACGGGGTCGGGATCGGGGTGGGGATTGCATTACCCATCCCCGCCCCCGACTTTTTAAAGCGGGGAAAACCCGCCCCTGGGCAACTCGGGTTTTTCCCGTCAAACTCAGGGGGGACGGGTCGGTCCCCACGGGTACGAGTTTAATTGTCATCCCTATCCTTAATTCATCTTGAATGGTGTTGACTTGAATGTAGTTGACTTGAATCATCATCATCAAAATCATCTCTTGAAGATGTAATGACATTTTCATCAATCTCCCCCTCATTGTTTTCAAAAAAGTATGAAAAGAGAAAAAAAAACACTATATAAAAATATTAAATAGGTCTAATTAAATAAATAAATTGATAAAAAATTTATTCAAATAATTTTTCTTTTCAAATATATTATTGATAATATTCATTCATTCATCTTCAGCTTAATTAGATTATTGCTTGATTTTAATGGATTCTTATTCACTTAGCCTTAAATGGATGATGAAGTTAAAGACCTTATTTAGCTTTACATGATTTGCTTGGGACTAAAAACAATTTTCAATCAAGTATTTTCTTTTCAAAATTTATCATTATATTAAATTATTTGATGTGTCATTTATAAATTAAAATCAATATATATTTTAAAAATATGAATTATTGATAATTATTTTATTATTAAAAATTTGACCAAAATATTCATTAAAATATATTTAATTCAAATATTTGATCGACAAAATTTATTTGTATTAATGATTAATAAAAAATGATTCTTCGTTACCTATTATTTTTTTCTTACAACAAAAAAAATCAATTGGAATGTTGAATAAAACATCAATCTATGTTTAATTGGAATCTAAATTCAAATAAAAAAGTTATCTGATATAACTTTATAATATATATATATATATATATATATATATATATTTTTTTTTTTTTTTTTTGAAATTGAAAAAGTTAGAATTGTTTGTACATTAAACATACATAATACGTTCTGTATTATTAGGGTTTATGCTTCAAAAATTATGCAATCATATAAAAATATTTGTTTATTATGAAAAAAATCATTATTTATTTTATCTTTAAATTTTCTCTCAGTATTTTTTTCTTAATTTTTTTAAAAATTAAACCCACTTATTTTCCTTTTGTACCTTTTATTTTTCTTCTTCTGTTGACTTCAATTACCTACTTTCACTCCCTTTGTATTTTATTTTTTTCATTCTTAAAATGATAAAACTAGTTAGTTGATTCAATTTTTACTTGTCATGTTTTTAGCTTGAAAAAACGGGTAAAATGAATTGTTAGAATTGGTCACAGACATTACTAGAAATAATATTTAATGAATATTTTTGTAATTATTTTATAAAATGATAAGAAATAAATTTTCTATAAATTTAAATAATTTTTTAATAAGAAATTTTTGCAAAAAATAATTAACATTTTAGCAACTCGCCTTGCAAAACAAAAATATGGGCTGATGAACTAACGGGTAAGTCCATCGATTTTATATGTATTTTTTTAAAATATATATTTAATTATATAACTAATTTTTAAGTTTTTATTTATTAATTAATAATTTTATTAAATAAATTAAAAAATTATATTTATGTATTAAAATATTTAATTATAATAAATAATTAAAATTAATTTGTTAATATTTATATTTTAAATTATAATATTATAATATATATACATCTTTTAATAACATAAAATAAAAATATAATATTTTTAATTATAATTTTTTTATTTTAATTTTAATATATAAATAAATTTTTAAAGTGATTCAACTCATTCTATACTACTTTAATCCACTAAATTAATAGACTAGAAAAAAATATAGATTCACGAATTAAAACTACTAACCTATTCAATTATTTCTAAGAGTCAACCAAATCTAAACTGTTGTATCATCTAATTATTAAAACAAATAATACTAATGTATAATTAACCTTTTTTTACTTACATTTACCTTCAAACTTTTATTTAATAAATATAAAATTGATTATTATTATATTAATAAAAAATTGTGAGGCGGTTACTTTTGTTAAAAGATTATGACGATATATTTTTCCTAAACAAAACACAATTGAGGATAATGGAAAGCAAAAGAATTTGAAATATTACCCCCACATACCTTCTCAGGTTTTGCTGCAATGGCAAATACAACCCTCACCGGCAGGCACCATTAAGTTGATCATTGAAGATGATTGGGAAGAAAATAATTGTGTAATTGAATATATAAAAAGTTCATCAATGATTCTAGTGGCTATCATCAACTCGCTACTGCACTAGAGGACTAGAGGCAGTCTTGCAATGGCCAATGGATCCTCACCAGCAGGCACCATTTGCTTCATCGTTGTTTATGATTGGCAGTAAAATAATGTGTAGTTGAGTACATCTATTCTGGTGGCAACTCATTCAATCTCTACACTAGGCAGTGCACTGATCAAACAGTGAAAATCTTCCTAACCTTCTTCATGTTCCTACGACAAACAGGGCAACTACAAGATGCTTCAGCTATCCTGCATATACATACATCACCACACAAGAATAAGCATTATTATACATTGAGCTGCATGCCAATGAAGATGTGATCTATACAATAAAGACTGTTAATGTTAATACATACACTTGCAAAGTGGGTGAACACGTTTTTAAGTCTACTACCATCTTACAAACAAATGCTCAAGTGATAGTAAGCACTTGTTATATAAAAAAGTGAATAAAAATAAAAGTATAAGTTAAAATTTGTTTATGTATGAATTAAAAATTGGATTTTAGAAAAGTTAATATGAAATAGCCTCCACCATTTAGCTTATACATTATCAACATGTTCAGTCTTTCTGAAACGTGAATTGTGCTATACTTGTTTTGTAATTCTGAAAGACCACCAGAAAAAAATCCGGGGGAAATAATTAGGGGTACATGTGAAGCTATTTGTAAACAAAATTGCTCTAGAAATATGACAGTATTTGTAGTTATAACAATGAATTACCTAGTTCCACATGCAAAACAAGCCACACAGTGGCCACATGGAAGGAAGAAGCAGTCCCTTGGAGCATCAAAGCAAATAGCACAAAGACGCCGTGTATTGTTACTGCTTTCACCATCACCCAAAAGTTTCCCATCAATGGGGCCTCCTGGAAGAAAGTCAAGATCCTCCTCGTCTTGTGGCAAGGAATCATATGATGAACCCCAACTTGAAAGATCATCATCTTTGTGAGAAAGCAGAGGTGCTCTCTGAGGCTCTGCCCCGTCAGTTCTGACGCCTTCTCTATTTTCATGGGCACACTGAAGCTTGTTCAATAAATTGAAGGTCCAAAATACAAGCAAAGTCAATCCACCTGCACGAAGATGTAGCCTAAATAGTAACATATGAAGCCGTTTAAGATTGACACAGACGTAAAAGGCTGACTATGTAAGGGCTAAGGAGTTTACCAATGCCAAAAATATAGGTTATCCATCTTGGTCCATAGGAAATTTTGATATACCACTCATTGGATGCATTCTGAACCAAAGAGAAGTTACATAAATAAGTAGTAAAAGGAAAGAATATGCATTTCGCAAGGGCCGATAGGGAATTAGATTTTTCTTTAGAGAGGGAAAAGGCACAGGATTTCCAAGCTTCAGACTTTAGCGACAAACCAAAATGCAATCCTAGGTTGCAACATTAATATTTTGTAAAGATCATAATTTCTTTCAATCAAGTATATGATAATTGCAATGATAATTTTGAGTAAGTACATAAGAATAGTCTTGCCTGTTGTGGACCAGGTGTAACTAAAACAGCTGAATTTTCATCAAGAAATAAAATATTTAAACTGCATGGATCATTGGTAAGAGAACATTTGTAGTAGGCATTCGTGGTATTATGCAAGAAGGCCCTTACACTGATGTTTAATGCCACCTAATCAATAAGAATAGACCAACGGTAAGTAACAAATGATTAATTAGTTAATACATTACTACAGTGCTTGATAACGTATATGGTCATTCAAATCATAATAAGTGGGGGAAATAGGTTACTGATATATAAGAAACATAAAGTAATAAAATCTTATCCAATAAAACTTCCATTTGAGATTGCTATGTACTTTACCATTCCAAATAACTATATATTTTTTTCCATTTGAACCACTCAACTTATATCTTGTGTGTAACATTTTCATTATTTTTTATTATTATTTTGCTATATTAATCCCAACCCAAATACTTAAAAACGTGTGTATATCATCTTCAACTTCTACCTTCAAGTGTATTTACCTCTTGTTTTAACACAAACCCTTTGATTCCGATGTCTATCTCTACAAAAACTTCTTCCCTTAATTCTTCAACCAAAACTATATCATTCGAAAGAAAAAGTTGTAGGTCCTCGTAAGCATCTCAAGAACAAAATAAACAAATATATAACCCAATTCTTATAGAAAAAAAGTCTTCAGTAACTTCAAGACTTCTCAATTTTAGACATTTGGCGTAAACTCAAATATCATAAAATGGCTCCCATAATCTCATGTGGTTAGCTTACCTTTACATTCTAGTTGAAAGAATCTCTGCGTTCATATATTTGAATGCCTATGTGAAATTGTCATCATACTTTTTGGATTTTGATTTAATAATATCTATATTTAAAAATTTACTTCTTATGCACGAGCTTTTTATGTATGAATGAATTAACAAGACGCAAATGTTTAAAAAATGCAACATCAAGCATGAAGGACAACTCCATGCCATGTTCTGTTCAAGTTTAGCAATCAAATATTAAGGTTTTCAAGCATGTAACCTATTAGTACTCTAAAAAAATAAATAAATATTTTTTTCTATACACTAAATTACCCTAGTTGCATAGCTAAAATTATCTTTTAAAAGTATTTACATGAAACTTTTTTTTTTACAAATTAACTTAGGAAAAAAATTGTTCTTTTACTTTCCATTTTTGAATAATTTATGAAACATCTCCAAATATATCTTTAAATAAAATCCATTTTGTTCAAATAAATAAAATCCACTTAATAAGTTACAATAGTCAGGAAAAGCATATCATCACAACTAGAACTTATTTGAATAAAGTTCTACATAAGTACTTATAGAAGAAAAAAAATAACTTCTATCTAAGCTAAAATTTCTTATGCACAAACTATTCATAAGTTAATTTTAATTTATAAACTAAAGTGTTTATGAAGAAGCTAGTTTCGGTTCTTATTTTTGAATCTCTTTACATGTTTTGTTACTTTGTTTAACAATTGTCAATTTATACAAATTTTATCTATATTTCAACAGAAACTTTGTTTAAATATCCAGATATGAAAAACAAAAAACCCCATTGCCCTCCCTTCAGTCATCTAGAGAACCTATATGATTATTGTGCCCACCGGAGCGAGTGTGGCATAGGATACAGAATTACCTCCACATCCTCATCCAAATTACCCAATGCCACGTAATAGCTCGACGACCAGAATATTTCCTGCGTAATCATACCACTTCCTATAAAGAAACAGAGCAACATCAGCTAGGTACAACAAACAAAAATATTGTTTTTTGTGTGTCTTACCATGGATCACATTCCATGACAGAGTTGTGTTAGGTTCTGTTGGGTTCTCCAGCCACCGATTGAGGCTCTCGGACCCTGAAAAAGCAAGGGCATCAGAATAACATGTTCACAATATAACGTAAGCATGCAAATTTGGCACAGCCTAGATAGTAACCATGTGAACTGCTGCCAGTTCGTGTGCAAGTTCTGTGTCTATTGCTTTTCTTATTAATTCTTATAGGACCTCACTTAATTTAATGATTCGTGCCTTTGGAAACATAAATTTTGTTTAGTTATATATATATATATATATATATATATATATATATATATATATATATATATATATATATATATATATATATATATATATATATATATATATATATATATATATATATAAACACATAAGATTTATTTTGTTTAATAAGAGAAGGTCCCAAGAAAAGAAATTAAAGAATTTTCCAAAAGAGACATCACAGAAATATCTCAAAAAAAGGGAAGTTATAAATAACATGAAGTGAAACAGCTATAAAGCAAAAAATTCTCCCAACAAAGTTCAAATATTTCTCCGTAAATATTGTCATTAGCCAAAAAGTTACATAAATAAATATAAGAAGGAAAAAAGGAAAAAAAATATTATAATGAAATGTTATTTCATGGTTGAAGTAATTTTTTAGCAAGCATTATAAAAAATCCCAAAAAAAGTAAATAAGGCTAAATTACTTATTTGATTCAATTTATTTTTTTAATAAAAATTTAAATAAAATCTTTTAATTTTTAAAATATGGTAATATGGTCTCTTCTGTTTAACGGAGATCGATATTATTAACTTTATAAATTTTGAACGTTTTCATTTACAAATAATGATGTTTTTTAATAATTTCTATATTTATTATTTTTTAATTAAATATAAAATAAATAAATAAATAAAATTTTAATCAAATAAGTAAAATATGCTAAAAAGACTAAAAAAATAACAATGTTATTAAAAATATTATGAATTTAAATTTCATTATAAAATGCTTATAAAATTAAGTAGTTTATATAATAGTTATATTTACATGATTTATAATTTAAAAAATAAATATTTCACCAATATTGAATATGACATCAAAGTATCTATGTAAATGGAAATGAGCAAGTGACTTCAAAATAAATTAAAGATATAAAAAAAAATTTAACAAATAACATATCTGCACTATACTCTATATTTATTAAAGCTAGTACAAAAGGTACATTCATAGAGGAAAAGTGATAAAACTCTCTTCAGTCACTAAAATACAAAATTTAAGTTCTAAAATAATTGCTTAGCGAAACCAAAGGAATTTCTTATTTTTAATTTTCCTACTAGCTTAAATTACTAGATAATTGCACACAAATTATTTATATATTAATAAATTCACAAAATTTGAGAGGAGAAAACCACTGAATAGTGAGATCTGAGGTAGAAAGCATCATGAGCCGTACCTTCCGCGATTATAAGGAAAACAGTGGAGCTGTTAGATCTGACGTGATACGAAATATTAATTGTACTCCCTTTATTTAGATAATATTTCCGTTCCTGCGGAGGACATGACTTAAGAGTGAGAAAGAGTGCGAAACTCAGTTGCTTTTGCAATGGCTGAATTCAGAATCATGTGAGGGTCAAAATTAAAACTTCAAAGGGAAAGGGAAAGGGAAAGGGAAAAAGTACATTAACTTGCCTTGTGTTCGCCAGAGGGAAGAGACACATTGCGAGTTTCACCCCAAGTGCTAACAACATCAAGTGGGGGGTACCCATATGTACCATAAAGATTGGGTCCTGATCCAGGGTTTGCCATTAAATTTTCTACCTAATGTAAAAAGAAAAAAAGAATCCATATTACCAACACAATCACTAGCTGCAAATCCAAACACATAAATAAAAATCGCAATGGTGACTCTGACCTTCAAAGATTGCACGAACACGGGACTTGGTTGGAAAACTATAGAAGATGACGGGCCAAGCATGATGTTCATGGACCCATAAACCCCCAGTATCATAGTCATCGACACTGTAGCTTGCAATAAGAATCTCCGAAATCAAAATTCCAATTTTTTTTTATAAATTATGTAAATAAAATTATGTATTTTTGTTTATTTCAAACACCCGCGGAATTGTTTTTTATAATAATTAACGAAAACTTTTTATATAATTGGGAGTGATTATGGTCCCATGCAGATTTAGGGTGCCAACGGCCCCTCAACCAATTTTTATTTTTTTTATTAAATTTTCACTAATAATAAATATCATCTTTATTTTCTCAAATAATTTATTATTTATATTTTTTTCTAAAAATTTATCTTTTTTTCTCCTATCTTCTCACTTTTTCACCTCAAATTTGTTTCTTTTCACATTTTAATATTTTCCTTGATACTCTCATTTTTCATATTTTTTACTTTTTCTAGTTTCGCTTATAACATAAAATTTATAGGTTTTTTCTTTTAGTTTTTTAATTTTTCTTTTTACAGTTTTACCTTTATAATATAAAATTTGTAATATTTTAATTTTTTTCTCTTGTTCATGTTAGAGACAATTTTTTAGTTGAAGAAAAACAATAAATTAAAAAAATAAAAGAGATATTACAAAATAATTTTATTGAAATAAATAACCGAAAATAATTTTATTTATTTTATTATGTTATTCATTATTATTATAAATTACTATGAATAGTGAAATTTAAAAATATAAAATATTGGTATAATTGTTTTTATTTATTATAAATTAGTTAATTATTTTATAATGTTCTATGATATTATATTTTGATGTTGGAATATCTAAAAAGAAAAATAACAAAAATTTCGTAGAGTTTTGGTGATGGTTAAGAAGAAAATTTTAGATTATTTTAAAAATAAATAATAAAATAAATCCTAGTTTTTAAATTTTAATTTGAATATACTGTTATAATGATTAGTTTTTACGTAATTTAAAATTTCTGGTTCCAGGTCTAACTAAGTTAAGCTATCTTTTCGTCACAATTTCAAATTTATATAGATGTACTGTGATACTTCTATATCTCATTATTCGAAGGTGTAGTGTGGTGGAAGCATAGAAAAATAAAAAGAAAACCATAATTATAATAAGTAATGTAATAAAAAAAATTTAGGAAAAAAATGAAATGAAAAAAATAGTGTATACATATAATTATTTAACTTAATAAAGGTCTTACTGTTACCAATTAATAAATGAAAAAATATAAATAATATTTAGTATTATTCTAATTTTAATTAGAGTTTTAATTTAATGATCTATATAGCAAAACTTTAACCTAAATAATATTTTTTTATTCAAGTGAAATTCAATTTTTAATTAAAAAAAATTATAAATACACGCAATAAATTAAGGGTAAACTTTAGAGTTTTTGGTAATGTTCTATTTTTTAATAATAAATTATAGTTTACTTAATTATTTGTTTTACCGCAATTATAACTACTGCAAATCTTATCATCTAATTTTTTTCACGTATGTTATGTTACTGACATGACTTTTAGTATAATCATTGTAAACACCAAGTTTACTCTCTAAAGTAGTTTGTTCCTGATTTAAGTGTAAAATTATTTGAAGGTCATTTTTGTTTTCCTAAATGTTATTGTTAACAAACAAAAAGATTAAATACACCGTGAATGCATTAAAAAGAAAACAAAAAAAAAACTATGATAACAGAAGAAGCAGAATGAAGATTCCCTTACCGAATAACCAAAAGCTGAAGACAACGGCGAAACAAGAACACGTTTCGTCTCTAACAATGGCAGCGGAGCCATCCGCGATACTCCAGTTGCCTCTCGTGGAAGTGCCTATCGCGCGCTGCGTCTGGCGTGATCGGTCCGGCGGCGTCTGAGAGCTGGCGGAGGCAGATTCTTCCGGCGGTAGGGTGGTGGTGAACTGAGACTCCGGCATTGTTGTAGAGAGAAAAGAAAGAGTAGAGCGAGAGAGTGAGGAGTGAATTAATTGGTGCATAGTGAAGTGAAGCGTTAAGTATATTCAACTACGGGTCTTCTAATGTAGTTCGCTCGCTGGAATGGTAGTTAGGGAGATGAAATGACGGTGGTTGCAAACAAACAAACTCAATTTTTGTTATGTGAGACAAGGGTTCATCCAACTCTTTGCAATTGAAGAGTCAGGTTTGACTTACTCAACTCTCATTCTTTTCTACATTACACCTAACCCAAACTTTTCACTAATTAATTAAATAGAAATTAAATTAATTTATTTTTAAAAGTTCAAAATATAATAATTTTAACAAGTATTAATCATATTATTGAAATGACACAATTTCATACTCGCTATATATATGGACCACATGTATCTCACAGGAGAGACAACATAACCATGTTTAGTGGACTCTCTCTCTCTAAATATTCAATGTAATTGTGTATCCAAAACTTACTCAAAATTTATGGTTATGTTGGAAACAATACATACTGGATCAAATGAAAATTTTCTAATTGTTAAAAAATTGAAAATTTAAATATATATAATAATTAAAGTTAAAAATTAATGTGTAGTTTTATAATTAGTTAAAAAAACATTTTTTTCTATGTCAACTATAAAATAAGACGCAAGAATTCATATATTTATTACTTTTGATTCGTACAAACGTTCACGTTATTACATAAATAATAGACGTGAAATGGTGCAACAAATAGATAAAATCTCCATGTATAATTAACTTACCAATCATTCTCACTGTTAAAAGAAATTATAGCCTCCAAAGCAATGAATAGCGTCAAAATCTGTTACCTCGTTTGATTGTTTGATCGTGGTCACAACAATTTCAGTATCATATATAAAAGACAATCAGAAGGAGCCAGAGGAAATTAAAAAGCAAGATTTATATTGATTCTCTCTTGTTATGTGTAACTGAGAGAATATCCTCATCTAAAGCTTTGATCAATCCCTTTTGTCATTCAATTTCATTTAGTTTCTTCAATTCAATGTTGAAAAATCTTTTACCTGATGCAATGCCAAAAGATGAGCAAAGGTAAAGGGAGGATGTACATGAAATGAGAAGATTTGAAAGTGCAAGATTTCTCTCCGAGAGTGGATGGATGTTTGTTGGAGCATGCAAGAAAGGTGGTACGGATCAACCTAACTTCTTATCTCACATTCACCTTAATTCTTTGCTCTACGAGAAAACTGTAGCAATAAAAAACCCTAGATGAAAAAACTGAAAATGAAGGTTAGTTGTAAAAAAAAAGTTTGGTTTTTTAAAATTTTAATAGTAATTTTTCAATATTTTTTTTAAATAAGTAATAAATAACATATTTAAATAAATGAGTTAAGCAGGTAAATACATTTCACATATTGGTCACTCAGTTAAGGAATCCACTATATTCATGAAGCAGGTTGAATAATAAAATATTATATATATATTTTTTTATCTCCTCTTATATAATTTTATGGGAATAAATAAATTATATTCTTGATTTTTTGGGATAATAATTATCATTATCTTTTGATTAATTTGAAAAAAGAGATTCAAGACATGGTGGAATAAAATTGAAATTATGGTAAACGTTTCTCTCATCTCATATAATTTTTTTTGGGAACAACTAATATACATCCCTAATTCATTAGAATAACTACTAATTAATGTATTTATTTTTATTATTGTACTCTCTATGATACAAGATAATATTTAAAATAATATTAAATAAACTTTAGTTTGAAAAGTATACGTACACTAAAGAAGATTTTCTCTTATATAAATATTGTTGAATTAGAAAAATTTTCCGAATTAATCGTTTTAAATGCATATTATTGATATAATACACTTATATTACTCTGTTATACGTGATGTTGCATTAATAAAGATATTATTAGTATTAAAACATATATGATTCTTTAAAACATATTATTAGTATTAAAACATGATATTTAAAAATAATATCACTCTAATCTCCTCAAATGTAATTAAGATATTTTTCTTTATTTCTGTTTTTTTTTTATATTAACTTAAATATAAACATCGGATTTACGGGTAAACTTCTCTCTTTTTTAGTATTCTGGTTTAGTTAAAATATAACCAAAAGTGAAAATATTTGGTGTTCACGAGTAGGTAAAATTTTTCCTTCCGCATAAATCAAGAATCATGATTTTCTATATCATTTTATCAAATTTTCAAGAAAAAAATTAAGAATAATAATTCCTATTACAAAAAGAATATATATATATATATATATATATATATATATATATATATATATAAGTTAATATTAAAATGAGGTTGATTCTTTATAAAAATGTCAAAATAGACTTAATGGGATAGATTGACAAAAAAAATTCGAGAAATAGATTAGACTAAGTACAAAAATTTGTAATATAAATAAATTGACTCAGGTCTATTTTAATCCGACTTATTTAGGTCTTAGTTTATATGGGTTTAGCTGAGACGTACCCATAGACTTTTAGGGTTTAGACCATACTAACCCGTATATTTAAAGAGCTTAAGTTAGACTAACTTGTAAATTTATAGGATTTAGGTCAGACTAATTCATAAGTTTATAAGTTAGTTCATTTGATAAAATAATAATTATTTTTAAATAAAAATAAAAAAATATTATTTTATTAATATATATATATATATATATATATATATATATATATATATATTATAAATTAGTTTGATAATTGATTCATTTATTTTAAGAATAAATATTAGAATAAATTTATAATAAATATTTATTATAAGATTTAATGATTAAGATTAATTACTATTTTAAATTAATAAATTATTAAAAATAAATAATAATAAAAAATAAGTTTTTAATTTTTATTTTAAGATTGAATAAATACATTCTCTTATAATTTATATATTAAATTATTACATCTTAAATAAAAATTAATTTAATTAATAAAATTTGAATTTCCAACATATTTTTTTTATTTTTATTTAAATATATTCTTTAATTAATTAATTTTTTATAGATATATTAATATTTTAAAAAAATCAAAACCAAAATTAGTTAGTTAGTATCTTGACCTAACATAAAGTTAAATTAGATTAAAATCTTCTAATCGTTTTAAAATATAGGTAAAATTGAACAATTAATTTTTTTTCCCATTTTGATATCTCTAATTTTTTATATCTTAAAACCCTCAAAACCTCTAAATAGAAAAAAAATGAAATTTGGTTTTAATGAAAAAAATTACATTTATCTTTTATTCAATCTTAAAGGAGTTTCTAACACTATTTAAAAAGTATATTATGATAACATAAAATGAAAACCATAGATCTTCATTGTCAAAATGATATATAAGCTAGTAATACTTATGAATAACTATGATAAGATTATTAATATTTTTTATATGAATTATTAATATTAGAAAAATTTGAAAAAACAATTTGAAACTTACTTATACTTCATGATTTTGTTTTCGCTACTTAATATTTTATTTGTCAAATAAAATTATTTTATCGTGTGATAATTTTGGTAATTTTAACAAAATTCTTTTTTTTTTAAATATCTATCAAAATAAAAATTTGATTATAATTTCATGAGAGGGAATTTATATTACAGATATTTTATGTTAAAAAAAAACAATATAAAAATTTTGACATCTTATATCTTATTTAAATATATATTTATTAATTTTTTTATATACAAAATAATGATAATTGTATATATATATATATATATAGTATTTCTAGTGGTATATGATTTTTTTATAATGTTATCATTATTATTAATATATATATAACTTTTATTTTTATTTTTTATAATTTATTGAATTTTTAAATATTTTCCTTCACCTGACGAATAAGGTAGAAGAATATTGAACTTTAAGAGATACAAAGATTTTTTCTCCTCCTATAAAAGTAGCAAAATAACATTTTATATATAGAATTTAAAGAAATTCAAAATTGAAATAAATTTTTATTTAAATACAAAAGTTAGAAAAATAATTTATAAAATTTAAAATTATAAATAAAGATAAATATAGGGTAATTTATATCATTTATTTAAATAAAAAAGTTAGAAAAGTAATTTGTGTTTGAATGCAAATAAGAAAAGAGAATCAATAACAAAAAGAAATTAAAAGAGATAAATAAAATTAAAAGATAGAATGATATTTTATTTAAAAATTAAAAAAATAGTTTAAATCATGCGTTATTACTAGGTGAATGATATCTTTTAAATATTTTTCTTATTCTGAAATAAGAATAAAAAATTATAATAAATTTTAGTTTAATTTATTTTAATGAAGATTAAGTTAGTATTATAACAAAATATTTATTTATATATTTAATAATAAAAACAAGAGAAACATTTAATTCTACGACCATGATTTTGATCATGTATTCAACCTCATATTTAAAATTAACTAAAATATAATTATTATGCCAAAAAATTGAGATATGAAGAGATAAAGATAAAGTAATTTATATATTTTATTTTTTCATCAGTGTAGCGATTTGCATATCAACAGAATATATGATCTTATTAAATAAAAGATTTCATCAAATTCTTTGATGATAAAAATTACTATTAAGAAAAAAAAAAAAAAAAAAACCCTTGAAACTTGATTGAGTTGGTCTCCAAATGTAGAAGAGTCTAACGACGATGAAAAGGTAAACTAGCGTAACGTGTAACCTCAGGAGTGATTTATATAATGCCAATCCTAGTTATGTTATTTATATATTACTTTAAAAATATATTTTAAAAAGGAATAATAATTATTGATATATGATTTTTATTTTATTGCATTTTTTAGAAATTTACTCACTTTAATTATTCTAAAAATATAAAGAAGAATTTTTAGATCTACAAAATTTTTCATGATAAGTTTTTAGATCATCTCTTAAACTCAAAATTGGTTAGTTCAAATATCATACAATAAAAAATATATTCTAAATAGAATTAAAGTCAACATCTTAAAAGAGATACATCAAAGTG